AAAACATAATGTATATGTACACACACATTTTTTGTCTTTTCCATGAAAATTTTCTCAAAATTATGTTATGTTTTTTTTCTTCTTCTGTTATTATCTCTTTGTTTCTCTTTCTTTTTTGCTACACTATGCCTTTCTCTTTATTTATTTCGAAATATTAAGAATAACATTGTACATTTTTTACATAATAGTTATCTTCACTGGTTTTATGTAACATATATCTTCATATGATTTCCGGTCCATAAACATACTTTGTTACGAAAAAAATCGTTTTACATCCGATAAAAATTTAGTTTACGCGTATCTTAGATAAATTTTAAATCCTAGATTCACTTAAAAGAAAGGAACACTGGTTCTCAATATAAAACTGACATGATATAAGTTAAGTTTTTTATGCATTATCTAGACTTGTCCAATTTGAGTCAAAACGCAAAACCATGTACGCAAAAAAATTCAATTTGAGTAAAATTTCACGGGCTGTGAAGTATTGGTAAATGTCGCTCAGACGCGTATCAAAACTTTACAGTCTTCGAAATCTTGCTCACATATTGATTTCTTTGCATCGATGGCTTTGCATTTTGCCGTACATATAATATACAAATTATTAAATTCTGTTATTAATTTTCAGATGTATTCAAAGTATATGTACATATTTCTTTTATTTACAAACGAAAATGATGAAAATGAAAAGATATTTGGATTAGAATAAATACGATATAATGATATGATTTGATTGAAGGAAGAATAATAAGAATAACTAAAAAATCACGTTCTTCTTCACTTTCTTCTATCATTACTAATAAGAACGAATATTATAACGGAGAATGCGTAATATCATTTAATTACAATAATACAATATAAATTAATATTTAGTTGGTATTATATAGTAGTAGCGAATACTATAAATAGTTGATATTGTAAATGTTTGGATGACGAATTATATAAAAAAAAATATCTCGTTCATGTTTGTTCTGAAAATGGAGCTGATTCCATATTTTTTTATATTCTATATAACAAATTATATTTCACTAACACTTTGTTAATAGAAAATCTCAACCCATACATTAGAATAAGCTCTATCTTAAGAATTTAAGAAAATTCATGGAAATACATATCTTTTTTACACATAGACTCCTCACTGGTTTTACATTATATACATCGTTATGTGGTTCTCAGTATAAATAAATATTTACATTGTTTTATTTTTGAAATTTTATTATTGTGAAATCTAAAACCAATTTATTGGTTATGATAAAATTGATTATGATAAAATCAAAATACTGGACACAGAACATTGCATATTCACAAAATATTCATTAAATAAGATGCTTGGTAAATAAACATTTTGTACATGTAACATTCTCTTAATATCTGTTCGTGAAATCTTTTCTATTGTTTAGAAAAAAATTTTCTTTAAGTTTTAGATAAATTTCAAACCATTATATAAAAAAAAGAAAAAGTCAGAACACAAAATTGACTTTTGATATGAGTGCTTAAAGATATTTTATTAATTTTCCATTAATTTTCATTCAAAAAAGTTATCGTGACTTTCCTAAAAAAATATAATAAAATAATTGGTTAGAATTTTTTTTATATGTAAATTAATATTTACACTGGAAACCACATGACAATGAATATACTCGAATCCATTTTCAGAACAAATGCGAACAAGATTTGACTCTTTTTTTACATACTTTTTTTTTTAAATAATATTCATATTTTTATTATATTATGATTATCATATACTATATATCCTCCATTAATTCTTGTTGAAAATGTGATTTTTTTTAGTTACTCTTAACAATCTCGCTTCAATAATTCTTTAAATAAATCGTTGACATTTGCGTTTCTAAATAAAGGAGACATGTATATACAATATATATATAACTTTAAAGTACGTCTGAATATGTCTGTAAATTAACAAAAGAATTTAGTGATTTACATGTACATCACCTACAATGACGAATACCGTATTTCAAAAAAGATTACAATCTCGAAATCTGAACTGATTTCGATATTTTTTTTTAAAGAAAGTTGAATAATTTTGTTTTGGAACAATTTTGTTAAATCAAATTTTTGTTGCTTTCCTGTTTTATTAAATTCGACATAAAGGGAGAGATTAGATTTAAAAAGTTTTCAATCAAATAGTAACTCAGTTAATATGGCATTTAATTTAACATCAAACGAATTGGCAGCTGAAAATTTCTTATTGCATGAATAAAATCAATATAAATTAAATAAAAAAATTAAGAAAGTAAATAAAATTTTTTAAATGATAAAAAAAGTGTAGTGTTACTTAATAGAGTTTTGTTTATTAAAAAACAACTATTTCAATTAATTTCATTTATTAATTTAAGGTTAGATTCAGTGATTATGTTAATTTGTGTACAGCTTTTTAAACATCATTTTAAAATTTGAGTGATAAGTAAAAATAAAAAATGATTTAAAAAAGTGTAGTGTTACTTACAGTTTTACTAAAAACTAGATACTAGAAAACTACTAAATTTCAATTAATTTTGTTTATTAAATTAAGATAAGATTTAGTGATTACGTTAGTTTGTATGACTTTTTAAACATCATTTTAAAAATCGAATGTTATCAATATTCGATTGATGTTAAATTAAATATGCCATATTAAATAAATTACTGTTTGGTTGAATACTTCTTAAATCTCTCTCTTTATGTTTAATTTAATAAAAAAGAGAAGCAATAAATTCGACAAAGTTGTTCCAAATTTAATTAATTTTCACTTAAAAAAAAAAAGTATCGAAATCTGTTCAAATTTCGAGACTATAGCCTTTTTTGAAAGACGAAATTTTATTCGGTCCTACTGTGCGTCGATTTCCCAATATATTTATTTAATGCATAAGAAACTCTACTTATCGCATATATTTATAATTTTATTTTAAAAATATATGTATATACTTTTAAAAAAGTAGTCAGAAATCACGATAACTTGTTTGAATGAAAATTAATGAAGTATCTTTAAGCACATATACAAGATCAAATTTGTGTTCAGATACAATCTTTCTTTTATATTAATTTACGGTTTGGAATTTATCTAAAAACTTAAAGAAAATTTAACAATTCTAAACAATGTCTAGAGAATATTTCACGAGCAGATATTAACGTTACACGTACAAAAGCGTATTTGGAAATTATCTTCGTTATTGACGAGTATTTTGTATACGAGTATGCGACACTTTATATTAAACATTCTGCCTATCATTGTCATTTTATATTTTACAATATATTATAAATCCATTCGCAAGACAAATTGATAATAAAAGTTTGTCCACTTAAAGATAATTTGGATTATGGTCAACGGAATGTTAACAAATTAGGTTAACGAAAATTTTGAAATTATAAAAAATTGAGGCCGTATAGTGTATTCAATTAAACATATAAAATAGACACTAGTGACTCAGTAAAGTACGTTTTGCTGAGCTTGATTGAATATACTATACTTTCCCTCAATCTTTTATACAATTTCAAAATTTAATTTGCTCAAATCTCGCTTTATCCTATCTTTGCAGACCGGCATTTCCTCAAAACATTCACTCATATTCTTATTTTTTCCTTCTTTTGCCAATTATGTAGAAATATTTATATATACATGTATATATGTATTTATACTATATGTAAAAAATATATATAATATGTGATGCATTTTCTTATATTTATAATAATATTTATTGGATAATCTGCATATATTATTAAAATATATGTTTAATGTATCATATATAATTATATATATTTAGACAGATGTAATTATTAATAATTTTTATATTTTATTTTTTATTGTTATATTAATTTTGCTGGAAACAAATTTGTCGTTGCACGAATTCTGTACACATATTTTGATTACACACTAAATCTGTATCTGTATCAATATCTGTATGACCGTCCCCGATTTTGAAAAGCATTAAAATTAATCAAAATAAACTATTATATTGTAGGAATTATATTTCTTTGATTATATTCTATTATGATTTAGTAGATATCCAAAGACCATTTTATGTTTGAAGCTTTATATTCGGAGAGGTTTCATGGTATGGAATAGCGTACTCGAATTTAGAATTTTTCACAAAACATGTTTCAACAAACTTTATACAAGTGCATATTATATCTATATGTGATAAATAACATAATTTCAATAATCATCTCGTGCTTACTCTTCTCAAGACGCATTCCACAAAATGAATATCTCGAATATACAAGTTGTGTACATATGATCGATTTAACGCAAAATTATCGTGAACTCTGTACTGTATATACGTTACGTATGTTAGAATAATATTATAAATTTATCGATATATAATACAGATATATATTGAACATTATAACTGAATCTTGTGTTTTCAATTTGACCTTTACATCATCTTTCGCATCCGACATCCTCTTGACACAATATTTTTATTGTGATATTACGATTATATATATATATATAAATTGTAACGATAAAATAAGATTCGTTGAAAACAATTTAATTAAATAGTTCACATTAAATAGCGAGAAAATAATCCCGTTTACGACTGATAATTCGTAAATATTATATCGATACAAAGATTAATTGGAACGAAAAATAAAAGTCTAAGACAGGAAATCTAACGAGCAATACAATTTTTCTAACGTTTTCATCATATATATTGCGTCATCTTATATATTGCTGCAGTGATAGAAAAATGATATAGTTCAAAATTTGCAACTTGTCAGACCATTTTGTAAACTGGAACAGTATCTTAATTAAGATAATAAATATAGAAATAATTATAACTTTATTTTCTTTTTAATTATAATGTATTGTTTAGAATTATAAATTTTTAAAACTTGAACTCTAGCATAGTGTATCCCTTATCAAAATAACACTTTTCCATAAAAATTAGTTTTTAGGTTTTATATTAATTTTTTACTCTTATCATTTTTTTTATCAACGTAGCAATATATGCAATTAGAATTTTAATTTACAATCATCGTTGATAATTTTTTAGAAAAGCGATGTAATGATTTTTGTGTCAAATTTTCGATCACTCAACTGCGAAACGAAATTCTCTTGCTTATAACAAGTCAATGTCAAATTGCATATAAACGGCACGATGAATCCACATAAATAGACATGCCCTACGATTTGCACAAATGATTTTTTGCTGTAAGTAGGATTTTTATTCTCCCGATAGGTCACATAACGCGCATTCGCGAAATCATCCCGATAAATATGTATTTAATATATCGTATATGCATAAATGTGCGCGCCGAACGCGGTATATGGCCGAGTGGAGACATTAATTCGCGCCAATAAATATTCCCATCGTTCCGGCACATAAACCCCGGCGTTTGTCATACACACGCAGTCATTTCGGTTAAAAGGCATTCCCTCCGCCACTGAATGCAAATGTGAGTAGCTCGTTGTGCGTGCCGCTAGGGTCTCTAAAGTGCTTTCAATTACGCGTTCCACCTAACGTTCCGACGCGACGCGACGCGACGCGACGCGACGGTCCTGCATGCGGAGAGCCGTTTTCCTATGTTTTACATAACTGGGATTTTCAAGTGTTTCACGCCCCACGAGGACACGCATGCTGCGTGTCGCACGGCGGCGGCGGTGGCGGTGACGGCGTAGCATACCGGTGTACGTGAACGGAATATGCGTGAAGTGCGAGAGCTCGTCATTATTTAATACCTATCGCCTCATCCGCTTTCTTCGTTTTTTTTCTCTGTTTTACCTCTTCCCGATCCACAATCTTCCGCGATGTTTAACTCTTGAGAGGTCGCGCTTGATGACGAGCGATGAGACGGAAAATTGTTTTCTTCTCGCGCGATTATACTACGTGACATTGATTGTTTGGAATATAAGATCGCTACCAAGCGCATAATTTGCATCCGCACGTATACCAGAAACTAAAACACAAGAAATAGAACTCTCGTATATATTATTCCAACATAATAAAAAGATGAAAAAGGCCTACGAGAAAATAAGGTGTATATTTTTAATAGTAATTTTTAATATTATGATATAAAAGATGAGACGTTCGATTTACTCAGCCATAAAGATATAATCCATATAAACGTAAAATTTAAATAACATTAAATGATACTAAGTACAAATCACGCGAGGCACATCACAATTTTACAAACAGTAATTTCCTTCTTACGTTTATTATAACGGCCTATGTGCGAGTCCATGATTCGTTGCTATGTATAGACATGGACTAAGTCGAGTATTAAAATATGGAATAGATCGCAGATCCTATGCAGATCCAAGATATCAATTGCGTATGGATATTAAACTGTGTCATTATGAGAGAAAGTTAATAACAGCCATTAATTTTCAAAGAGTTAAAGTTTAAAAAAAATGTACTTACAGTATACATGTCTGAGTATCCGATTTTCTCGTAAATATCTGTTATGTTAGCGCTTCGAGATGTGAGAACGAAATGTGACTGTTTTATACGCGAAGAATTTAACACAACGAACAGACGAAAATGTATGTTTATATGACTTTCCTTAATTTGTCAATAATATTAAAATAGGATTCGTCCAACAGCTCCGTATCTTTTCTTAAATTAAAACCATTTGTTTTTTAATGTGTAACATTTCTGAGATTAATCTTTTATGATATCTCGGTTTAAAGTTCAAAATTTTAACATTATTCCAATCAAGTTTATGATTAAATTCTATAATGGACTGTAATGTAAGAACAATAACAATACTATAATGTCGAGACTAACATAAAAAAAATATCTGAAATAGTCACATCTGCGATAAATGAGGATCTTTGATATTGTAATATTAAAATTTGCTATTAAATATATATTTTATTTGCTCATTTATAAGCTTTTATCTTTTTATTACCAGAAATTAGGAGAAACGCGCTGCTTATTTTAACCAGGCAGAACCGGGTATCACCAGCGCGAAGCCGCCAACAACAATACTTACGGAACAACAACTTTAGATAACGTTTCTTTAAATATCCCGTGCGTGCGTAACGCGCGGCGATATACAACCGCACGATATACGAGATGGACGACATGGAGTTGATTTAACGACACTTGTTGCTCGCACAAAGTTGGATAATAATTTCAGGTCGCTTTCCGAGTTTCAGGCAACGAGTGAAGCGACGTCCAAACGTGTTGTTGTACATATATCTCCTTCTATCGCGTCATCATTTCTTTCGCGTTTGCCTTCGACTACAGCACGCGAGACTTTCCTGTTGTTATGATTGCTACTTTTATTGCCTTATAATACATTTCAATCATGTTCTCCAATTTTCTTTTAATATTAACATTCGAATATTCCTTACAATTACGAGTGCTAAAGAGCAAACGGATTAAATATTTTATAAAAGAAATAAACCTTATAAAATTTTTAATGCAGAAATAGTTGCAGAGATAGTAGAGTTGCATATCAACGAACGATTTTTTTTTTATTTACTTATTTTAATATTAATTAGATCTTCTAGTTTCATTCGATTTTGGGACATTACATGTTATTAGCATAAATATATTAGTATGCGCCTATCCTAACATTGCGTATAACTATTTCATAACAGACAGATTGTGGCTATAATGATAGTGAGGTAAAGCTGGCTTCAGCACGCGATCAAATAGCAAGGATACCTAAGAGGTGAATCGAAGAGCATCAATTTTCTCGGTCAATTTTTTCCTTCAACACCTGTTCCTTGTTTATGTGCAAATATTTTTCAATTAAAAAAATAATTTGTGAATTATCCAGCAATAATTTGTTGAACGCGATTGCTATATTTTGACTAATTGACAATCGCCGTAGATTTTTTACACGGCGATTTTTGTTGTCTCAATTGAAATGTTGACAAATCATAAATTATTTTGATAGAACTGTGATTGTCTGACATTTGATCGAGCGACATCGTTCACAGCTTACGTATCTCTCGAAGGTCAGGTTCCGTCCATCTGCGAACAAATAAATACGTCAGAAGACATATTATGTAGCGGCGAGCACGTAAACGCAGTACAAAGTTAAACTCCAATCATCATATTGAAGGCCAAAATTATTTTAACGCCTCAATCTGAAATGACGAAGGCTTGAAACCTCGGAAAAACAATATAAAAAAAGGATATTATTAGATATTTTCAGAATTCGAATAAATATTCCCGATAAATTTATATTTCTCGATGAATGTATGTAACAAATATGTCGTAACGTCCGTCACGTGCGGAGCTATTAATGACAAAATTTTTTACTCGCGGTGTACCTATATAGATATCCGCGAAATAAATCACAGGTGATTTAGATTTTTCCGATATTTGAAAATTACTGACCGCCGGGTATGCCATTTTAATCGCGCTTCCGCTTTAAAAAGTAACGTCCGCACAACAATTTCTGCATGCGCGGTTGCGAAAATATTGCATAAATACGCGGTAATGCGCAAGTGTAGTCAATCTTGAATCTGTATACGTATTTCGGAATCTACGCGGAAAGAACGATTTTACTAAAGCGTATAAAAATTAAGCCAGGTTTGAAAATATACTATGTCCATCAAAATAATTATATAGAAGCTCAAGCATGATGATAATGCTGCAAAAAAATGTGATATTCTATATACCATCCAGTTTGAGCATTCTATATTATTTTGATAATCTCTAACATTTTTATTATTTTCAGATCTGACTAAATTTTTAGATATTTACAGTAAAACCATTTTTCCTGTGTATTGGCTGTAACACAAATATTCTTTTTTTAATTTCTCTTATATCTTAACTTTTCTTATATCTTGTTTATACAACATGTTATATAATAATAATAAAAATTGTTATACGATATGAGTTGTTGAACGACACTTCAATTCTGTATAAACGCAGCAAACGTAAACGATCAGTATACGAATTCCAATGAAATGTCTAAATTCCGTCGGATAATAAAGATAAGGTTTACGTAAAAATCACGAAATGACATATGACTTGAAGCTTAATAACTGTTTGCGCCTCGCGATGAATCAATTTACGCCGAATGAGGAAAGAAAAATGATGAAAAACGAGCAAGAGAGTTCGCTTTGATGCCACTGCGCTTCAGGTCCGCTTTAATCTCGAGTCGATCCCTCGGATCACGCGTGAGTACCTCCGTGCGAAACATCCCCTCGCGAGTTGCAATTTGTAAGGTATCGCGCACCTCGCCTCCACCATAAGTCTGCCTCTATCCGTCTAATGTTCTCGCTCTCTCTCGCTATCGTGGTTCCGTTGATCCGGTTAACCTCCGTTGCCCCCTAAGTAAGATAATATTCACGGCCAATTACCTAAAACGCATTCCTTATGGCACCGCCCGTGTGCCCGAAGTATTGGCAATCTGCCACTGTGCCGATCGAGTATCCGGTGCGAAACGACCTTGTTATTAACGTTCAAGTAAGCTTTACTAGATCCGATAACCCTGATTTCGCTCTCTCCGTTACACCGTTACATCAAAATCATAAGTCTATCAAGCAGCGCTTGTCCAATATTTTTTATTCCTGATTGAATAAACTTTTTTGTACGCCTGGAGAAACGGTTCAGCTTTCATCGAAAGAATTCTCATCGTCAACTACCTGTACTCGAACGCAAATTAACAGCCAATAATGAACCGATACGCTCGTCAATAGCAACAGCAATGACGAACGCGAGATCGCGAGACGAGACTGTAACTTCTATCTGGCTTATCGGCTCGCGGGCTACTTTTCATCAGTCCTACTGACGGAAAAATCACGGCACCGAGATAATAAGTTCGCGATTACCACCAACGTCGATCCAACACGAACGGATCCACTAATCCATCTCGAACGAGCGGGTTAACGAACTGCAAATCTCGCGCTTGTTATCCTGAGTGACTTAAATGATTGCATACCCTCTCTGTGGAGTCATAACCGCGATAATTACTGCGAACGTGGGTGAGCGAGAGCTCACGCCCTTCTCTTCATCTCCGAAGAACCAAGAACGTCGGGTCATTTTATCCCATGCTTTTCGATATCATGTCTGCGAGTAGCATATGCAATTACCTTTTTGTACACGGGTTTTCTGAAGCATCTAAAAATTTAGCTAAGTACAAATCTAAGAATAATTATGTCAGACGCTGATTGTTAGAATATCATCTTTTTGCTGTATTGCTCATCATACTTGAATTTTCTGCATAATTATTTTGATGGTCCCACAAAATTATTTTCAGATTTGTATTTGTCTAAATTTTTGGATGCTTCAGCAAAATCGTTCTTTCCATGTAGTTTTCTAAATTGGTATACAAAAATGTTTATTTGAGAATTTATTAATATGTTCATATATAAATGTGAAAATTAATACATTAGAAGAAATCTTTTATTAACATTTTTTATTAATTTTACCTTCTAGGAATACTTTTAATTATCTGCTGTTTTAATTTCCCATGTTTAAATTCTTCTTTTATCGATTTTTCTCATTTGATTAAGATACATTTCTTCCTTTTAGTTTGCATTTTTTTTAGGTTTTTTTTATTAGAATTTCATCACGATTTATATTTTCTAAATTTTTGTAATTAAAACGCCCTATAAATATGCTCGGTGGAATAATAAAAAAAGAAGGAAAAGTGCAAAAAGTAACAGCTAAAAAGAAACGATTCAGACGTAGAGCTTCTTTCGCGCTCGTCGTTTCGCATTTATGGTACCAGCGCGCGACAGTTATGGCAACGAACGGCCGTCGAAAATCCAGTCAGACCTTCCAATTTGTTAATTGGCACGATAACGTACGCGCATCGTATATTCTGACGAACCACCATCGTCTCTCTCTTCGTTCCATCTCGCTTTTTTACTGTTACATCGTGTTCGCATGATTAAGACTCGTAATCACATGTCGTTCGTTAAAGCGAACACAGATAACTCGAACTGAATTTTTTTCTCCAGTTTTACGCTCGCTCGCCTCCCGGATCGATTCATAAACACGAAAAATGATGTACGCTGTAATTATTCACAGAGATGGGTCTCGATAAAATTTGAGAAATCTTGCACCCGGTAATTTCAGGTAACTCGAACGTTTACATTCGTGCTTGTCAGCGCTTAAGCTGGAAGTAACACCTTGCAGCAATCATGCTGCAAAAAAAAAATAACGCCTGAAATCTGAAAAATTTATTAACGTGTCGTTTTCGTTTACTCACATCGAGCACGCGATTGAATTAATCGTTAATTACAGGCTAACGAAATATACGTCAGTTTCAATGATAAAATCTGCGAAAAGGAAGTCTCTCCGACGAAGGCTCGTATAATAAAGATATTATCCCAGAATATTTTTATGAATATCTGATGCAAGAAAGAAAGTAATTTTTGTCCGGAGGTATTCGCGGGCATTCACGCGTTAAAGGAGAGGGTAGCCGCGAAGAAAAAAATGGCAAAAAGATGGCGAAGAGGCCGAGGGGTTGCGTTCACGCACGGAGACGGCTGTTACAAACTGGTCGGACTAGCCTCCGGGTCAGTTTATCGCAAACAAATGGGTTACGC